CTCGAAAGCGAAACGTACCTTCAGGGATTCTCCAAATAGGAATATGCTTTCTCGCTTAGAACTTTAGCTACACCCCTGGTAGAAATGTGTATAACTGAGTAGAGCTCAAAATGTCTCGTCTAAGTCGCGAGCTGACTAGCTTGATACTGCCTCATGTTTATTTTGGAACTCATTTGCCGAGCAGATGTAGGGGTTCAATGAAAACTGATGGTTATCATGTTACTGCAACATATACCTATGTTGCGTCGAGCAAGATTTTCCATTTTCCAGATATTAAATTGAAGATAATCATCATATGTGCTTTTATAATTGTAAAATATACCAAAATTTTTAGGTAAGCATGGGAAGGCGTGGGCTAACAATTTTAAGAAATCTGCTTTCATAATACTTAAATGGCCACTAACATACTTATGAGTTTTGAGGGTTATTTGCTAGACTATTGAGTATTGTGTCCTAATATTGCCGTACACTATTACAGCTAGTGCCAAAAAATTTGATTTTTTATCCATAAATTCTACACTCTTCGTAACATACTGAACATTAAACTAATATGGATTATTTACAAAGCACTTGTGGTGTCCCTTTTTGTATATGGCATAATTGTGTTGATTATTCTAACAAAATCTAGACTATATCCCTCCATGCAGCTTTATTCCCAAGAAATGAATAATATTAAAATTTTATATACCCTTGCAGTATAAGTTTTGTACATGCAAATAAGAAATTAAATACAATTTATATGTCCCACAGTTATATGACCCGAGCAAACACCACTCATAGCCTGAACGTCCCGCAGTCCAGACGAGATTTAAATGTACGTTTCGTGACATATCTTGCACCTAAATTTTGCAATTTGATTCCTGCTAATATCAGGAATATTTAAAATAATAAAAAAATAATGTTTCGTTTAAAATGTTTGGAAAATCGTGAACAATTTATGCGTTTATTTTAAGTTACTTTCAGGTAGAATGATATGTCTATTTGATTCTTTTCTCAAGTCATATATATGACTTACAAAAAATATAGGATTTTCTTTCATATTGTTTTTACTGTGTTTCATGTTTTGCTGGTATTTTTGAGTAATTTTATACAAAAATATATATTGTTCCATATTTGTTAATTAAATACTGTATTGGATTTTTGGATTGAGAAACCTTGTTTTGTTTTTTTGATATATAGATATATATTATTCTTCTATTTGTAAAATTGGGTTTGCTAAATAAATGTGGTAGAGTTCAGGGCATACTGTTCTATATTATAACAACATAGATAATGCAGTAAAAATATTGCTGGTTTAGAAAGCGCCATTAATAACACTGATAAACACAGGATTTGTAACATTACAATTTTTGTGTGTATCTTATGTATCTTGAGGTCCTTAAATCAAATCTAAAAGAGAATTTTTCTATCGCCCACAGCTATTTGGTAACATCTACTTTTATGAATTACAATACGTAACATTACATAATTGATGCATTTCTCGGCGATTATGCGATGAAGCACATATGTTAAAATCTATATATTCCTGTTTATTATATGCTAGCTCTATGTTAAGAAATCATATTGTGTTTATAAGTAGACTTGTAGCAGCCGAGTCAGTTACGATTTCTGTCTTGAAGGGTACTGAGATGTTCTGAGTAATTTTTGTTCAAACGGTGTTTTGTTTTCAGTTTACTGTGATCGAGACTAGCTTTATGGACAATGCCTAGAAATTGTGTAAATAGTGCGAACAGTTTTTGTTATATGTGCGGAGAGCTTACTTTTAAATCCTAAAAACATACTTTTACTCTCGTTGTGTTGAAAGCATACGAACTTTATTTTGGAATTAAAGTTGGCGACCAAGATAAACTATGGGCCCGTCATATATGTTCTAAGACTTGTGTAACGTTATTAACAGGTTGGTTGAGAGGCGACAATCGTAAAATGCCCTTTGCGGTACCAATGGTTTGGAGAGAACCGAGAGACCATACTACTGATTGCTACTTTTGCCTCACAAATATTAAAGGTATTGAACAAAAATCGAAACATACTGTTGAGTATTTTAATTTACCATCAGCTTTGCGGCCCATTAAGCATAGTGATGAACTTTCTGTCCCAGTTTCACCAGAATCTTGGTCTTTGAATGAAAAATTCGAAACTACCGATTCTGGAAGTGATGGTTTCAGCAATGCCGCATTTGATCACACTGGGCGAACTTAATGACTTAGTTCGAGAATTAAAAGAATGGAATCTTCTCCACGGTGATGTTAACATTACTTCTTACAGAAAACGGCAACAAGACCTCACACACTGTTTCCGTCAAGAAAGGGAGTTGATATAGGTAGGTATTGCTCCGTCAACAATTTGTTTGGAGCGTTAGAACAGAAACATGATCCAAATGATTGGCGCCCGTGCATTGATTCCTCTAAGCTTAGTTTAAAAGCGGTATTGGTACACAACGGTAATAAATATACACGTGTACCTATAGCGCACGCTGTTCATATAAAGGAATCATACGAAAATATGCGAATTCTGTTAGAGCATATCCGTTATAATGAATTTGGATGGGCCACATGTGCAGATTTGAAGGTAATAGCCCTTCTTCTTGGAATGCAACTAGGATATACCAAATATTGTTGTTTTCTTTATGAATGGGACAGTCGTGCGAGATATCGTCATTATGAACAGAAGGAATGGCCAATAGTCAGTTTTGCAGACGATACTGCTATACTCTATAAAGGTAAGGATTGGAACGACTTAAAAGATATTATCCAAAATGACTTTTGCAAAATTATTCATTGGTTATTAACCGAAAATTAACAATTAACTTTACTAAAACCCATTTTTTACCATTTTCATCACTATCTAATCATCTACCAAAATATAACCACCTTCGGTTTAAGGTAAATGATAAAAATATAAAAATCAATAGAGTTAATGATACAAAATATTTAGGAATTTATCTAGATCCCCACTTGAGATGGGATGTACATATTTCTCACATACTAAAGAAAATTAGATTCATAGCATATAAAATAAAATTTCTTACCGGTATATTAACTGAATATTATCTACGAATAATATATCAAGCTTTAGTCGAGCCACACATAACATATGGTATAGTAGTGTGGGGTGCTGCATGCACGACATACTTTAACGATTTAGATGTACTTCAAAGAAGAATTTTAAAATCAATGTTAGGCAAATCAAAATTATACCCAACTAATGACTTATATAATGATGCACACGTATATGATACTAAACAACTTTACTTCTTACATACCATCACTCATTATCACAAAACTATTAGTGAACACGACATAATTAAACATAATCATAAAACCAGATATAAATTACGCGCAAAAAATGTTCCTAAACCAAACAAATCCCTAATGAAACGATGTCACCTGTATATAGCTCCAAAATTGTACGAACATTTACCAAATAATTTAAAACAATTACGCAATACATTAGGCTTAAAAAAAAATTTAAAAAATTTATTATCACGATTGGGAGAAATCAAATTAATAAAATAATCTCAAATATTACACAATAAATGCTCTACCATTCTTACCAATAATTTCTTTTTTCTCTCTATTTTAGTATATTTTGCAATTCAACATACATATGATCCATGCACAGGCGTTGTCCTCCTATGGATATATTATATTTATTTACTCGTTTCATGTTCCCTGTATTTTAGAGTAAATAAATATTATTATTATTATTATTACGTCAGGTATTAATTCCGGGTCTCAAAAACATTGCTCATGAGCCACTAGTTGATCCCAAAAACGTGTTGCTTCCACCTTTGCATATTAAGTTGGGACTGATGAAAGATTTTATGAAATGGAAGAGAGTTTCTGCATTTAAAAAAAAGCATTTCCGAGACTTAGGCAGAAATTAGAGAGGTCATATTTGTGGGTCCACAAATACGGAAAATCATGAAGGATGATATATTTGACAGTACTCTAAATGAAACTGAATTACGAGCTTGGAATGCTTTTATAAATTTTTTAGGCAATGGGATGTAACGTGTCTCTAAAAATTCAATTTTTGGATTCTAGTCTCGATTTTTTTTCCGGAAAATTTAGTTGCGGTGAGTGATGAACATGGTGAACGGTTCCACCAAGACATTTCTGCTAGGAAAAAACGGTATCAAGGCAAATGGAGTGTCAATGTGATTGCTGATTATTTGCTGGACATTGTTAAGAGATACTTCAGGAGCAACATATCGCCGTAAAACACCGAAAACAACCTTTTGAGATTAATGTTTATTCGAGTGTTACACACATATCCTTATACAGGGTTATCCAAATTAAGTAAGTAAGTTATTGTAAGCTTTTTTGTTTAAAATTTGATGCTTTAACAGAAAAAAATATAATATACAGGGGTTTCCATTTAAAAAAATGTTATTTTACTGAAAAAAATCAAAATAACGACTCTCAATTGTTTTTTTTATTTCTCATTTTTACCAGCGTTAAAAATGCTACTAGTTTGCTAATTCAAACAACTTTGTATTTTCACTAATAACAAAGTTACTAATGGTGGACACTTAATTTGGATAACCCTGTATTTGACGAGTATAAGCAGCAAATAAAATGCTTCATTGGAAGAAAACAGTGGGAATTAGAAAAAAAATTTATTTCCGGCTTTTTGGGTACCTTATAACAACCTTGTTTTGTCCATGTCACCAAAAATTATTTTAATTTTGTTCACCAGTGTAATCAGTAGTTACATCCACATTGTACCTGTTTCTATATCTTATACGATAATTTACCTTTTAGAAAGTTCTGTCCACTAAACATCTACGATCACCACTACAAAATCATCCTAAATATCCACGGAACCAAGTCACAGACACAAATTCATCAAAATTCGGCACAGACACAAATTCACCTCACCCGTAAATGTATGCAATTACGAAAAGTGAAACGCGTGTCGGTGTTCGTGTTCCGGAGTGGCTCCGGCTCGACGTTGGCTCCGGAGCGTTCGTTCGTTCGTGGCGAGCGCGAAAGCACGACTGCCGACCACCGTCAGTCGCCGCGGCGTCGTCCGGCTTGGAGGGAGGCGCCGCGACGCCCGGCGAAGAGCGTCCGGGCGCGCAAGCTGAGATCAGATGACCGCTCGGTCGACGGTCCGGTACGGCAGGGCTCTCGGGTACGGGGCAAATGTTTATCTAAATTATCAGGACGCGAACAACAAGTACAAATTAATAGTGCAGCAAACACACTTTCTAAACGCATGTTGTCCATTTTTTGTAACTTTGGCAAATAAAGAAAAACCACTACATGTTTGGCAAGAAATTAACCGAAAAACTGATATGTTAAAAAAATGGATGAAAAAATACGCAAATATTATACCTACATGTGAAAAATCTAGTATCAATTGTATTTTGAAAACCTCAAAAAAACTGTCGGGCAAACTGCATTTAGATTGTCAGCCTGGAACAAAATGCATTTTGATTGTCTGCATAAAGCGGTTTGACTAACTTTGTAGTGAGGGTGTGAAAAAGATGTGTAGATTTATAGAACTAGTATTTTATTTTAAAAATATCAAACAGTAATTACAAATTTTACATGCCATAAATGTCCCCATCGTCATCATCATTACAATCGCATATGTCTGCTTCTTCGGAAACATCATCATCGTCAGTTTGATCTTGGTTAAGTTGAATGTCGTTTTGCTCATAATTATCAGAAAGAATTGACTACCACCATGTTAACTCCGGATCTGTGGCCCAATTTACCCCTGACAGTTCCACGAGCAGTTTCGAGAGGCCCTTTAGTTTTTTTGTTTTAATATCATTTTTCAGCGTTACGACAGGTAACTTTAAAGTAGAAAGCTTTTTTCCACGTTTTAATAACGTTTGAAATTGTTTGGAAGGATCGTCATTTCTGTAAAATAACTCGGTCTTAAGCAAAATGTCGCTGTTGTGTTGTGATCTCTCAATAATAATTCGTTTGGCCGCACTGATCCCTTCAATTTTCTTTAAAGAAGTTAACGCCGTTTTTATATCGTAAACAATCCAGTCCTTACCAAGTTGTCTAACGTCTCCCTTCCTGGAGTAAATATCATCATATTGTGTGGGTGTCTTTATCGTACTGTAGGATCGTGAAACTTTTTCTATTTGGCCGAAAACACGGTCTGCTGGCAAATAGGAATGGCCGCGCACTGGAGCATCATTGTACAGCCATAGCATAAGCATATGCATCACGTGTGCATTTTTATTCTGCCCAGCACAACCATCTGCGAATAGTCTTAACTGTTTTACATCTGGCGCAAATTCTGATTTATTAAGGAAATCACGTAAAGCAGAACTTGTCTCTGCAGATCCCCTTTTTGCTTGATGTTCCATCCAGGTGTAAAATACTACAATAAAAAGACAGTTGCTGAGCATAAAATGCATCTTGAATGGCCACTTTTGGTAAGACCTGAACCTGCTGAAGGACAAAACAATAAGAAACACTCTGTGCCGGCTTCTCTTTCATTAGACTGAAAAATTGTTTGGCCCGCATTTTATGCACACGCAGAGAAGTTTTCAACTTGTCTAATTCATTTTTGTCTTTGCAAATGCCAATAGAAGTTTGGGTCCTAACGCAAAAACCGCATACGTCGGTGGCAGGACTCCCAAATGCTATATTGAAATTATTATTAAAGATCCTACTAAAATACTTGTAATTCGCTTTCAAATTTTCAACTGCAACCTGGTTGTACAGATTCCATAAAGCAGTAATATTATTTTCGGCTGAAAGATAGATGCGACGAGATTTAGCACGGCCGTAATGACTTTCATGTCCTTTCAAACTAGCTATGAATTTTTTCACAGCTTCAAATTTATTTACATTATTAAAAGAGCGTTTGTCTCCTCCAAGCTTCTCAATAATGCCACTGCCAGATTGGATCAATAGTATTTTCGCGTCTCTGACTGACGCTAAATATTGCTAAGAATAGTTTCAGGCAAATGTAGACTTTTTTCCCGTTTTTCCAAACCTAAAGAAAATAATATAAAGTCCAAGGTAAAATTAAACCTGACCTTCCGATAGTAAAGCGTTGCTTAAACCACGATTATATCTTTACATTTAAGTTTCCATGTTGAATTTTTTTGTCGTTCGATCAGGATAAGTTAAGGGCCGATTTTAAAAATACTATATTTTCCACCGGAGTGTATGTCTAAACAATCACCCCAAATTATTTAAGAGTAAACTTACAAAATATCTTGTAGAAAAAATGTGCGATTTTCCTCCTGGTCTTCGGTTACGACTTCTATCTGGTTTTCCAACATCCATAAAATGTCCCAGTTTATTATCCTGTACATTCTTTTTTTTTGTTTTATAAAACGTATTTCTTATTGTATGTATGTCATCCTGGGATAGTCCATAGCAAAAAAAAACCTTGCGTTTAGGGTGACCACAGGAAAAATCAACAAGATGTTCCAAATTAGGGTAATGATCTGAATGCTTTAAAAAGAGAATATTAAAATATTAACGATAATAACATAACAGCCTACAGATGATATTAGCCAAACAATAGCGTAATACAAACATAACCTCAAAATCATTTAAACTTACATAACATAACTTTTACGCTCTTTAGATGTGATATTTTTTTCCTTTTTCTACTACCACGGTTCGTATCACCAACTATATGATCCCCTTTCACAGGTACATCCATTATTTTGGATTGTTTAGTGAAAAACAGAGAAATAAAAGTACACAAAACAAACACATCTGACAGCAACACGTGCAACGACAAACTAAAGGCAATTAGTCCAGGCTGCAAGGACAAACTGTTAGTTTGTCCACCGCTAATTGACATATAGCATAAAGAAAGTCTAAGGAATTTGTATCATTCAATTTGAATGAAAGAAAATGCATTTAGAATATCTTTTGTAGCATACCATTGTAGAGGTGTATATCTAGTTTGCGATGCCGATGGTTGAAAATTTTAAAAAATTGACAAATTGCATATAGAAAGTCTGCTCCTCCGGGGGCAGTATTGACTACTGTTCAACATGTATACAGGGTGATTCGCAAGTCGTGTCCAAAAATGAAACATCATACACAGGACCGCGTGGTCTACTACGCAACATTTTTTCCTCGAGGGGTTCATTTACAACATACGGGGTGTTGAAGTTTAAAAATAAAAAACACTTTTTTTAATATTTTCCAAACCGCCAATTGGAATGAACTAAAATTTGGTATGTGGACTTACCTAAGTACTTTCCACATTTAAAAATCGTTAGTCAAAATTAACGTACACCAGTAGCGGAGATACAGGGGATTAGTGGCATTATTTATCCAAATAAAAATAGTATGCCACTGTTTTTTCCGAAACGCGCAATTTTCCAAATTTTACCTTCAATTTGCTAGAACTAATTACTCTTGCATTGTTTCCTAGAGTGCACTGTTGTTGAAATAAAAATAAAACCAAATTAGATCGTTCATCAAGAGCCCAGATACAATTAGTTTCAAAAAAAAAACAGGAGGCCTTGATACCAACTTGACGTTTCTCGCGAGACAGTTTGTCAAAGTTATGTGTTATACGGTTGTTATCGTTACTACTACCATTTTATGCAAATGCATAATCAAAATGCACATTTTTATTGATTTGGTTTTGTGATCAGATGAATCGCCTTTTAGGAGTAATGCGACCTTTAATTCTCATATGGAACATATTTCGGCGCAGGAAAATCCCCGTTCTGTAAGAATCCACTCGTTTCAACACAGATTTTCTAGAAATGTCTGGTGTGACATTTTCAATGGCCTACTGTTTATGCACGTATTGCCACAACGTTTAAATGCAAATTCATACTTAGATTTCTAGAGAATCACATAGAAAATGTGTTAGTTTGTGTCCCGTTAGCAACGAGAGTACGAATGTGGTATCAGCACGACGGTGCCCCACCGCGTGTTCATCGTGGTTAAATATAATCATTTTAGACAACAATGGATTTTCAGAAACGGGCCCATACATTGGCCTGCGAGGTCTTCTGATTTGAACCCCCTGGATTTCTTTTTTGGGGCGCCTTTAGACAATTGGAGTATGCTGAACAAATTAATACTGTTCATCAGTTACAAGAAATCACAGATAATGCGTTTCATCAGACTCAAGCCACAACAAATTTTGCGGAAATACGTTTTTCTTTTTTAAAAAGATGCCGCACTTGTATCCATCAGAATGGTGGCCGTTTTGAACATTTATTGAAATAAAATAAAAGCTTCGATTATCAGTGCACTCTAGGAAAAGACACAAGAGTAATTAGTTGTAGCAAATTGAAGGTAAAATTTCAAATATAGCGCGTTTCGAAAAAAAACATAAAAAATAATGCCACCAATCCCCGCCCAACTAGCAAAGTAGTGGTATAAGCTTTTGATAAAAGAACCGTTCAGCCATAAAAGCTCTCTATTGTTGTTGCCTGAACACAAAAATTCTGGCTTAATGTTGTGTGGAATGCAGATTTGCTTTCTGCAACATATTTGCTCTAAAATGAAGTGTTTAAAATATTCTTATAGCATAGTTATACAACACCTTATAGGGCAAATTTTTAACTGTTGCATAAACGTTTATACAACTATTTTATACGGCATATTTGCACGTTAGTCGAAATGGTTGTGTTGCGGCATCCATGGTAACGTTTATAAAACAAACCCGATCCTTGTTTTGTTGTGCAATTTTCTACATTAGCCAACAAATTGCTCCCAACGGAAGCACTTATACAACTGTTGTTTAGGAACTGTTAAAGGCTGTACATATGCTAAATATGTTGGTAAACAACTTCACCATAACCTAACTTTCTGCTGTCATATTTTTGTAAAATGCTAAAATGCCATAATCAGTGTTTTAAGACAAACAACGCATGCATATTGGTTCCAAAGGTTTTATCAACTGTTCAAACAGAAGATATAGATCTGGTACAAATTCTGGGTAAATCATTCGACTCTGTCGGTATTTCATTTCAGACATTTGTCAAATTGTTGTATAACACCTGCAGGCAAGACCAACATATTCTAATAACCTAAAGACAGCATGGACGATGCCATGATTGTACACAACCACGCGCCATATTGGGCAAACATTTATTCCTCTATTTAATATTAAATAATTATGTTTTAGTATGAAATTACAGATATAAAGTGATAAACATTAGTGTAATTGTGTCTAAATATAAAATTTGTG